TATTTGTAATGTGTAATGGTCAAGAGCACAGACTAGTATCAGACTGCTTAGGTTCAAATTCCAACCTTTGTATTCTGGTCAAAATACATGATTCTTCTCTATCTTAATGCCATCAGTGGTATTAAACTCACAGAGTTATTATGTGTACTGGATTAATAAATATAAAATATTTCAAAGAGTAGACAGCACATAGAAACTGAGTCTTTGCTACTGTTGCTATTACTAGTTAGTAGCATTACTAAAAACTCAACTACTGAATTACAACTAAGGCACAATACTTCAATAGATACTTAGAAGAGTATAGTAAAACAGTTAAGCACACAGATTGCTGTGTAGTTGTTACTATTACTTAGCAATTTACTTACCTAACAAATACAGACTACAAATAATGTCTTCATTTATATGACAAAAGAAATACAGGCCAATAGAAAATATGTCTGATTTGAATAAACAAAGAAATATAATTATAGCCAGGTATGGTGACATACACGTGTAATCCCAGCCTTTGGGAGGCTGAGGCAGGAAATCTGCAAGTTCAAAATCACCCTGGTCAAAGTAAAAAAAAAGGGCGGGTGATGAGGATATAGCTCAACCTTCTTGGAAAAAGAGGGAGAAAAAAGAGAAGAAACTGAAAGTTAAAACTCAGAAGGAGAGGGGACAGAAGAAGGAGAATTATAAAGGCATATTACTTTTCAGCAGACTGAAGATTAAAACAAGACACTGCCTATCCCTGGCAGAAAACTGGCATGGAAACAGTTTTAGGCAGAATGTATTGTTACATCATGTGAAAGGCAAACTGTCAATATGTATCAAAAATTTTAAAAACGGTTTGGCATGGTGGCACACGCTAGTAATCCCAGTCCTGGGGGCGCTGAGGTAAGGAAAGGCTACAAGTTCAAGGCTAACCTGAGCCTCAAAGTGAGTTCAAGCCCAGCCTGAACTGCATAGTGAAACCCTGTCTTAAAAACACCAAAAAAAGAAAAACAAATTTTAATGTGTACATTCATTACCGCAAACAAGGGGAGAGGTACAGTGAGTTCCAGCCCGCTACGTTCAGACCAGGCTGAAACTCACTATGTAGCCTCCAACTGCATTTTCCTGCCACGGTCTCCCACGTGCTTGGGATGACAGGTGGGCACCACCATACTCACCTCCAGTCCTACAATTTGACTAGAAATTTAGCTTCAGGAAGAAATCAGACAAGCAGGCAGAAAGATATATGTACTGTTTTCACTGCAACAGTATTTATAACAAAAAATCAGAAACTTTAATGTGTAGCCAAGTTTACCATTAAAATTTAAAAAAGGTTGAAAAGGTTGTAGATTTCTCAGAATACTCTCTCTCAACCTAAGTGGGAGGGGGGAGAGACCAACTGTGTTTGCCCACCTGGGAACATTCAGCTGTGCTTGGAGGGGGTGTAGAATCTTCACATCATGATGGGATCACATCGCAGGGTTAGGGGATAACAGGAAGATAATCCAGTGACTACTGCAATAAATTCTTTGGTCATGTGAGAGAGTGGCCACCAAAGGGACTAAAGGCAGTTCCCTCCCTGCCCCTGCCACAGGACTGGCCGTTCATTAAAAGTGTGATGTGCCTTCCCCTCCTCATGATCCCACCCACACCATCCCAAACAATCTTATCTACCATCCCAAACAATCTTATCTACCTCACAATCCAGGTGCATCACCAAAGCCAGAATGGCCTTGCTGAAGTTACTCCAAAAATGCACTTTGTAAGAAAATACAATTGTTAGGGATCACCACAGAGGACCAACTATCAAGCCTTTAATCTGTTACAAATTAAAAGCACAATTTCTGTTTTCTTCTGAGACAGGGACTTGGCTGCTTTTGCTTAAAAACAGTAACTACTCACTGGGGCCTAGAGATGCCCAACAGGTAATTAAAAGTTATTTGAATCTGTCTGCTTTATTGTCTTAAACTTTGGGTTAGACCCCTGCTCAGTTTCACCTATCGGCATATTAACTATAAGGAGTATCTGCACAAGAACTGGTAATACATGGCTTACTAATCCTACATTCGTACAACTTAGCTCACCCCTTTAAGCCTGAGGACACCACAATAAAAAGACTTGCAGGGATGTTCACCTACTATGCTTACCCCTCGGGATGGGAACCTCTGAGTGTGCAGGCACTGCCCTCACCCTGCAGCTGCCTGGGATTCCAGCAGAACCTCCACGACAGGGAGACTCCTCTCACAGACGGGGTGGGGGGACGACACAGACGGACAGACAGACCGCAGACAGGAAGTGAGAAAGAGCGACAGACAGAGAAACAATGATCTCATGGAAACTAGAACTGAGATGAGCATAACCAGACCCTCATCCACCTCAGCAACCCTTGAAAATGGCCTCCTGCCCTTCATTAACAGACCAGGGACATCTGTCAAACCTCTGCCCCCCTTGCCTCCTCAACCAAAATCCTTCCATTTTTCATTTACTTTCCTTTGTTATGGGGCCAGTCTGATCTGAGAGCTATGTGTCAAGTCCCTTTCCATTTTCTCTTCCTCTCCAATTAAGGCTTTTGGCTATAAATCCGTGCTGGTGCCTCAGTTTTAATTTCCATTATAACTGAGAAAAGGATCCGCGATAGCTTGTGACACATAGTTCACGCCTACCCTGGTGCGAGACATAAACTTGAACAAAACTAGCACATACTACAATAAAGTAACAAAACGTTACAGGAGTACAAACTGGATGCGCAAATGAAGGCGGTGTTTGGGAGGTAGCTGGGCTCTGCAGGGCGGGGAACCCCACAGAGGATTAGGTGGGACACAATAAGCAACGACCATCTATAGTGCAATGGAGCAGCTAGCAGTCTAGTGAAGGGCAGGTCATGGAACAATGAAAAGAGCTGCAGACTCTGGGGAGCCTTGGAAACTATACTGAGAAGTCTAGCTGTTATTTAGTATTATATAATATACTGTTATCAAGTTCACTAGTCAAAAAAGTGAAGTAAAATGACATTAAAATACGAACCTCTGACTCTAATCCTCCGCGCTGACTCGACCCCGGCATCCACTCAGCCAGCCACCCACCCACCCTCTCCTACCAATGTACCACTGAACTACATTACCAATCCCTTTTAAAACGTTTTAAATTCTGAGATGGGATATCAGAATTTCTAAATTATCAAGGTTGGGATCAAACTTGTCACCCTCCTACTTCAGCTTCCAGACTTACAGGTGTGTGCCCCCGTGCCGAGCCTGACCCATCGGTTTTTCTATATCCATGTTACAGTCCAATCTAATGAGAAAGCACAAAGATCGGAACTAGGCCAACACTACAGCAGAAACTGAAGGAAATGGCCAGAATCAAATAATAATTCTTAGATATGTATGGGTGTCACCAAATCCTGTGTTTTCTAGATTCTACTTTTGGCTTTTCAGACTACAGTCAACTAACATTTCCTATCTGGAGTCTCAATTCCCTGTTCATAAAATAGGAAAGCTCATCAGGATAATTTCTAAATTCCCTTCAAATTTAACATTTAAGTCCTGTGAACTGTGAAAGGCAGATACCCACGATGACTCAGACTCTACTTTAAAATCCGAACAGACCCTAGGACAGTGGTGGGAACCCTTTTAAGGGCTCTCAGTGATAATAAATGACGTGTGCCTGTGCAGGTTCACCACAACTGTCCTAGGAGATAAGAGAGCACAGAAGGTTCACTTTCGCGTAAACTGAATTTAAGATACCTCTAGATCCAACAATTAGTCACAAATTTAGGTTTGGCCTTTAAGAAAGATCTGGCAGTCACTAGGATCCAGACAGTACGTGAAGCCATGGGAATGGATGAGATTATTCATGAAAACACGGAAACAATAAAAAAGGCAAAGTAGAGCCACGTATGTAGCTTGGTGGTACAGCACCTGGGGGCAAGAACAAAGCCCTGAGTTCAATTCCTGGTACCAAAAAAAAAAAAGATACCTTTTTAAAAAAAAAAAGGCAAAGTGGTGAAGAACACTAAAGTGTAAAGGGTTAACAGGAGAAGAAAAAAATGGAGTGCAGGAAAACAAGATCGAATTGCAGAATAATACACACCAAGGAAAAGACGAATTTCTAAAGCCGATCTTGCCCCATGGTGCGGCTATGGGTGGATGAGACTCTCAGTAAGTCCACGGACTTAGAGCTGAGGCAGGCAGCTCAGCTACCAAATCCCGTACCTTCACTGAACTGACTCCTTTTGTAGTTACTTAGCTCTTCCTTTGGCAAGGAATTGATGTTGCCTAAGACAGTATTGCTTGACCATTCCGTGTCACCGGTGACATAAAGGAAGGTCTCCTTGTTTAAAATGTTTTCTGACTTAGCCAAGTGTGGTGGCCCACACCTACAATTCCAGCACTCAGGAGTCTGAGGCAGGAGAATCACTGAGAGAGTTTGAGGCCAGCCTGGCTAACCACTGAGCTCATGGCCAGCCTGAACTACATACCAGAGACCCTGTCACAAAAACCAAGCCAAAACAAAATAAAACAAAAGGTTTTCTGTCTCATCCTCAAAGTGAAATCTGACAATGCTTAATGGCTCCCACGCCTTCATATGCACTTCACCTGTCCGCCACGCTCCATTGCAAGCTCCTTGCAGGCAGAGGACACTTCTGCTCCTGGCTATGGAAAACTTTTTTCACAGGATATTGTCACAGCAAACTCAGATTCAAACCCAATCATATCATTTACATTAACAGAAACAGTCTACATTTTATAAGGCAAATGTCACATAGAATAAACAGGAATTACAAAAGTACTAAAAACTAAGAATAAAACATTGGAAAACTTAAAAGCATAATGTAGGTAACCACAGTATATTAAATATAAATCTGCTAGGTTTCTATCAATACTTAAATTTTAAAATACCTCAAGTACAATCAGATGAGCTAATACTAACCGCAATGCAACCCGACTTGGTCTTCCTTGATTTGCCCATGTTCTAAGGATTCCATATTAGCTTCTCTACTAAATACAGCAATACTCATAAACACTGACCTTGCCGTGGCTTCTCTCCACTTTCTGAAAACATTTATTCAAGGACAGATTATGACGAACAGAATTCTTCCACCCTGTTGGTGCAGTAGCAAAATATGGGAATCGGTCCAGAATCCAGCTATAAATTTCCTTTACAGGCAAACATTTATTTGGAGAGTGCTCAATGGCCATATAAATGAGAAGACTAAAGGAGTACGGGGGCTTCGAGGTGGCTGATTTTTTCTCTGGGTTCTGGTAGCAGGATGGCCCACGGGATGGCACGTCATCTCCTTCTAGGTCGCACAGCGGGCTAACCACTGGAAGGTCCTCACTGCCAAGGCTGAAGTTCGTAAGGAGATTAGTGCTTTCATGAAGCCAGTTCAAGTTTGTCAGTTCATCATCTGCTGACTCACTGCCCACGAGAGTGGCCTTTGGCCGGGCAGCATCGACAGCCTCGGGTAAGCTTCCCATCTTGTATACCTGGCTTAGTCCTGCCACCCTTTCAGCTCCTGGGGTTTCAGCTCTCTTATCTGGAGTCATTCCAATTACTGGACCCATTTACTCTTGCCTAGTCTGCAACAAAGAAAAGAATCATCAATACATGTAATACCCAAGACTCACAAATTCTGGAAAAAGAAAACACTATATGTATCTGTATTTATCTATCTATATAAGGTAGATGTCACATAGAATAAACAGGAATTCTATCTATCTAGATACAGATAGATATCCCCAAATCAGAAAAATTTTAGTTATCACATATAATACTCAAGCATAATATTTTTATAATAGAGATACTGATACTTATAATACAAAGAATTTATTCCTGTTATTTGAAACAGCTACAAATAAAATGCAATTTTAGCATACCATATGTATGAATGGTAAACAAAATTATACAGTTTAAATACTCAATAAAAGGGGCTGGGGATTTAGCTCAGTGGCATACGCACCTGCCTTGTAAGTAGGCGATTGTGAGTTCGATTCTCGGCACTGATTTAAAAAATATATAAATAAATAAATACTCAGTAAAGCACCTAGCCTATGGTAACCACCTAATAATGATTTTTTTTTTTTTTGTCTTCTTGCTTTTTATCGGTACTGGGGATCGAACTCACGACTGCCTGCTTGCAAGGCAGGCACTTATGCCGCTGAGCTAAATCCCCAGCCCCCGATTTTTTTTTTTATTGGTACCGGAGATCAAACTCACGACTGCCTGCTTACAAGGCAGGTGCTTATGCCGCTGAGCTAAATCCCCAGCCCCAATAATGATTATTATTACTAAAGTCAAATAGGGTATGTCTTTGAATGGTAAGACCTTATAATCTATATTCCTGAATGATCTATATTTTACTCTAATATTCATATAGTTTAATTCTGAAAATAAATGAATCTGAAACAGTTTAAACAGTAATTCCAAATAAATTCTCTCCTCAAATCTGAGATATTTACTATAAAAAGATAAACCATCCAGTTACTCGTGAGGCTGAGTCAGGAGGATCATGAGTTCAAGGCCAGCCTGGCCAACTTAGCAAGACCCTGTCTCCAAATAATTTTTTTTTTATACCAAGGATTGAACTCAGGACCTTGAGATTGCCATGCAAGTGCTTATGCTGCTGAGCTAAATCCTCGGGCCCTCCAAATAAAATTCAAAGAGGAACTGATAGTGTAGTACTCAGTGGAACAGCCCCCCTGAGTTTGATCCCTAGTGTCATAAGGGGAGGAAGAAAAAGGATAAACCATTTCCAGTATTTTTAAAGCATAGTATACAAACGTATTGGTTTTCAAATTATTTATTTTTATTGTAAGCTGACAAATAATGATACACATTACACAATAATCAAATCAGGTTAATGAACATATCCAGATCCCACATACGTTTTACTTCCCTATGGTGAGAACACCTGAAATTTACAGTTTCAGCAACTCTGAAACACCGAAATCATCCAGTGCAGTCACCATGCTGTACAACAGAGCACTCATCTCACCCAGCCTGTGTCACTAAGCCTTTGGGCCTTGGACTAACATTCCTCTTTCCATCCAGTCTCAGTGTCCTCTCCCTCCCCCACAGCACTGGCAACCACCACTGTGCTGTGTCTATGACTTCAACACAGCAACACTTCTTACTTCTCTTTCTTTCTTTGTTTTTCACTGTGTTTGTTTGTTTGACAAGGTCTCATGCAGTGCAGGCTGGCCTTGAATGCACTATGGAGATTAGGCCAGTCTTGAACTCACATCAGTCCTGTTCAGCCTCCACCAGTGCTGGATCACAAACCTGTGCTACCAGAACCGGCAACTTCCAGTACTTTAAACCTGAGTTCTGTGCCATCCAATCAAGCACTCACATATATTTTCAAGGCTGACACTCTCTTAGGTTTGAACTATTACTGTATCGTCAAGGAGAGAGGGAAAAAACTACCCTATTTTCTCAAATGATTGTTTTTGATAGAACTGTGGAGGGAAGGGGGAGGAGGAGGAGGAGGACTGGCGGCGGCTGAAAAGATAAGAAGTATAAAATATAAGTAACCTTTATTTTGGGAATGCGGGGAGAGACACCCCCGACCCCCTGGGGCGTGACATCTCCACCCCGGGCCGGAGATCTCTCCGTGGAACACATGGAGTGAGGCACATAAGTAGCATCGGCCTGGGGTGGAACCTAAGGGGCATTAGGGTTGCACAGGTAGCCCATTGGTCTTAGTTTGGCGCCAGAGGTAATTCCTAAGGGTGGGGGAGATGGAGCTCCTTGGCTTTACCGGCTACAGTATCCGGCCTGGGCCAGCAACCCTTTCAGTTTTGTTTTCAAAAACACATTAAAAAATTATCATAGGAAAATAACTGACCACAGAGGAAAGTAACAGAATTAATGTGCCATTTTAAATTAATTTTCAATGGCTCATAGAGAAAACTTGCTTCCAAATTCTGTAAAAAAAATCTTCTATTATTCTATTCACTCTGCATATGCTTATGTAATTAACTAGGGAGATGTACCTTCAGAATTTTATTTTGCTTAACATACCTGGCAGGTCACTTTAAGAATTCTAAGAACTGGGGAATTTTGGATGTCTATCTGGACTTTAGTAGCTATTACTAGATGTAGTCTCCAAATACTCAATTAGTAACAGCAATTACTAATTGGATGTTCTGTTAAACGTTTTACATACCATATCTCAATTAACCATCAATTAAACCCTATGAATCAGGCACAATTATGAGTCCACTTAGACATGAGAAAAGGAACTCAGAAAGGTTAAGCATTTTGCTTTTGCCTAGCTATTAGTGGAAACACTGGAATTTAAACCCAGGCAGACTAATTTCAGAATCAAACTCTAATCAGCTTACACTCTGACCAAATTAAAAACATGTCTCTATCAGAACAATGACTTAAACCTTACTCATTTAAAATACTACAGCATTCTCTAAATGTCATCTTTAATTCTCTCATGCAAACCAGAAACTTAAAACATCAAGACACAGTTTAAAAAGGAAAAAGACCAAACCATAATAAATGTAGCTTTTTTGTCAATAAATTTTCAAAACCACATACATAAAAATTCATGCATAGTGCCTGCCTGGCAAGTACAAAGTCCTGAATTCAATCCTCAGTACAAAAAAAAAAAAAAAATCACGCATATATATGTGATATATTTCAACTGACATCCTGTCCTTTGTAATCGATCAAATTATTCTTTTTTATTACCAAAGTCTGTCTACCAATAGAGACTTTATTTTTTGATTAACTGATTGAGACAGGGTCTGCTATGTAGTTCAGCCTGGCCTTGGACTCATTATGTAATCTAGGCTGGCATCAACTTGGGACAGTTTCTGCTTTACTTAATCTCCTGAGTGCTGGGATTATAGGTGGTGGTGTGCGCCACCACACGTGGATCCACAGAGACTTAAAAATGTGATGATGGAGCAGTAGCACATGCCCGTAATCTCAGCACTCAGGAGGCTGAGGCAGAAGGATCACCATGAGTTCGAAGCCAGCCTGGGTTACATAGTGAGTTCAAGACCAGCCTGAACTATATAGCAAGACCCTATCTGAAAATAAAAGCAGAAAACAAAAAAATTAAAAAGTATTCAATATAAGGGGCAACATGGACAGAGATTTTACTGTATTACAGATACTATGCTATGTTTTAAAAGGGATCACCTGTTTTGACTCTGTTTCTAGGTTCTATGTATGTCCTTTCTTTCCACCTGTCAATTCCATGAAGCACAAGTTTTTCACCTTTGTACAAGTGTCTGAATTAATTTTATCAAAATGTCAGACATGGGGACTGGGGATTTAGCTCAGCGGCATAAGCACCTGCCTTGCAAGCAGGCAGTTGTGAGTTTGATCCCTGGTACTGATAAAAATGAAAAAGACAAAAAAAAAAAAAAGTCAGATATGAGATGGCAGTCAAAATATAATTCTTTTAAAGGCAGGCATGGAATCCTAGCAATTTAGGTAGGAGGATCACCAAGTTTGAGGCCAGCATGGGCTATATATGAGACCTCATCTCAACAAAACAAAATAAGTAACCCCTCCCAAACCACCGCCATCATTGACAAAACGGAAAAACAAAGGCCAGCTACGGTTGTGCATGCCTGTAATCCCTGCACTCTGGGAGGCTGAAGCAGGACAGGATCACAAACTCAAGCCCTGTTTCTAAATTCCTAAGCCTCCCCTTAACCCAACCTAGGCAACTTAGTGAGAGACCCTGTTTCTAAATGAATTGAATGACTGTGTATATACATATGTATGGGGATGCAATTCAGTTCAAAGGCCATGGGTTTAATCCTCAGCGTGACAAAACAAAGGAAAACTGTAATTATTTCAAATTGAAATAAGCTCACACACTCTCTTTCTATATTTATACATATATGTTGCATACACACTTCAGCAGTTTGCCACCACACCAATACAGGAAATGCCTGGAGGCTAATGGTCACCACTATGGGCACCTCTTGTAGAGGCCAAAGTAATGTATTAATCTCATGATATCTAACAAATTTAGTATTAAAATATTTACACAAGTTTTTTTTTTCCTACTATAGTTTTCAGTGGTGCCTCCTTCACCCTTTCCATATATATATATACATATATATGTATATATATATATATGTATTTTTTTCTTCTTTCCACATATACTTTGTACCAAATGCTGTATTAACCACCTCTGAGAACAGAACATAAGCCATCTACCTAAGGTTCTAAAGCTAATAAAAAGTACAGCCAAAATTATAAACCCACCTAAATTCAATATCTAAGCTTTTTGCCTATTAAAGCTGTACAAAATCTCTTTAAGAAACTTCTATTTTTAGCAATATCGTTGTACTTAAAAAAGGGTACTATATTCACAAATCAGTTTCAGTAACTACTACTGATTACATAGTCTTATCAGCAACTAATTTAGATGGTGGAAAATATGGTATTATTCATTTTTGTTTTTAGGCAGGGACTCACTATACAGTGCAGGCTGTCTTCAACTCCCTATGTAGCTGGCCTCAAACTCACAGTGATCCTCTTGTCTCAGCCTCCTGAGTGCTAGGATTACAGGCATGAGCCACCATGCCTGATGATTAATTGT